CGCTTCACGAGGCCCGTGAAGTCTGCCGAGCCGGCGGGCAGCACCGTTCTCGCGATGGATGAGGGCTGCGGCGATTTCGACATGGGCGACAAGATCGAGCTGTCCAGCGAAGAGGGGCACTACGAGATGAACATGATCACCAGCATCACTGCGAGTGCTGCCGATGGTGACTGCGAGTTCCACCTGGCCTACCCCCTGCGCGGCGAGCACAGCGCCACCTCCGCTGTATCCAAAATGGTCCCCAAGGACGCGCTTCTACTCCACACGCCGGCGCCGACGCCGGTTCCGCCGCCGACGCCGAAGGCGCCGGCCGCGTCGATCGTCGTCAGCAACGTCGGCTTCGGCGGGCTCGGCTCGCCCGACATCAAGCGGCTGCAGAGCGCGTGCCGGGAGAAGATCGCCGCAGCGGCGGGCGTTGACGCCGCGGAGGTGGCTGTCGTCCTCGCGCAGGGCTCCGTGCTCGTGGACGTGTTCGGCAGTGAGCTCGACAGCAACTACACGGTGAAGGTCGACTACCAGTGCGACGCCCCCTGCCCGACTGAGGCCAAGTTTTTGCACGAGAGCGTGGGGTTCGCTCTCGACCAGGCGCCGCGGGATGACGCCTGTGCATGCTCCTTTTCCTCTCCCTGTATGTTCCTCTTCCCGTCCTCCTGCCCCCCTCCTCCAATCCCGCATTCGGTGAGCTCGGACGCGGTCGTGGTAATGGCACGGCGCCCTCGAGCCTCACAGATGCAGCACCACTCTCTGCCTTCAGCCCCCTCGCCCCCCGAATGCGCTGAGCAGACTCTCCGCTCCCCTTGCTCTCCGCGCCACTCGTCTAGCTGCTTGCCTGCTTGCCTGCTCCCCCGCCGACCGCCACGACCCAAGACACCTGTGCGTCCTCGGCCGCCAGACGACCGACACCCTCACGACGCCGACGCCCGTGCCCGACCAACGCCCTACCCCATCCTGGCGCTGTACTCGACGCCCGATCCCAGCCCGACGCCTCACCCGACGCCCTGCCCTATCACGACGCCATACCCGACGCCCCACCCGAGCACGACACCCTTCCCGACGACACATCCCAGCCCGTCGCCCCGCCCTAGCCCGACGCCCTTCCCGACGCCCTGCCATAACACGACGCCATACACGATGCCCCACCCAAGCACGGCGCTCTTTTCGACGACACATCCCAGCCCGACGCCCTACCCCAGCCAGATGCCCTACCCGACGCCGCTTCCCAGCCCGCCGCCGTACCCGACGCCCTGGTCCAGCGCGTCGCCGCACCCAACGCCCCACCCCAGCCCGACGCCCTACCCGACACCCAGCCCCAGCACGACGCCCTACTCGACGATGCACCACAGCACGACGCCCTACATGGCGCCTCGCCCCAGCCCGACGCCCTCCCCCATCCCGCCGCCGATGGCCTACCTCTTCGACGGGGCCCTGGTGCAGGAGGGCAACGCCGTTCCCCAACCCGTCGCTCTATCCGACGCCCCACCCCAGCCCGACGCCCGACGTGACGCCTCGACCCAGCATGACGCCGACGGAGTTGAGCACCACGCCGCTGATCAGCAGCGGCGGCGATTTCGCAGGTTGCGCTGCATGCGCGGTTGCCGTCAGGCGAGGCGAACACGGTCGTGCTGCAGACGAACGTCTGGCTCGCCGCCCTCGCCAAAGCCGCCCAGGCCTTGCTGTCTGCGCCGTTCCTGGCAGTCCAAATGCCCGCGCCGCCCCAGCCGCGAGGGAGGGCTTGGACCGACGGGCGGGCGAGCGACCCCTGGACTCGCTGATGGTCTGGGCGGCCTGGGGGCTGCGTCTGGACGGGCCCCGCGGCTCGAGCGAACACAGCGGGGCGGTGGACGCGGCGCAGAAAGCCCAGCGGGTTGAGCTGACCGCCACGGTCAGATTGGCGGGGGCGCCCGTGGAGCTCATCGCGGATTCCCGCTTCGTCCGCAATGGCGTAGCTGCCCTGCGCGCCCGCGCCTGCTACCTCGATTGGGCGCACTACTCCGATTCATGGCAGCGCGTCGCGGACCACAGCCGGATAGGGTTCCTCGCGGGGTCATGGGCCACACGACGGCCGAGGAAGCGTTCGCCTGGGGCTCGTCCGAGGAGGACGGGGCGGGCAACGCGGCTGCCGACCAGCTGGCGGGCGCAGCGGCCAGAGCCCGTCTCCCCCCGCCAGCGATCTGCTTGGAGCGCGACTTCCAGCTGACGGCGCTGGCCGCAGCACAGCGCGTGCTTACGACGGTTGAACTGGAGGCCTTGCGCGCCAACCACGAGAGCCGCCGGCCCGGCGGCCCGCGCGCACGCCGCCGCTGGACTGCCGCCGGCGGACCCAGCGCCACGAAAGCTCGGCCGCCGCCCGCAGCGCCCTCTCGGCCGCGGCGCCTGCCCCTCCCCTGCCGCGGCGTCAGAGGACACGGCCAGCGATGGAAGCCAGCGGGATCGTCGCGCCACCCACGCCGGCAGAGGCGGCCCGCGCCCTCTTCGCGGGAGCCGCGTGGCGGGTGCACGCGCCAGCGCAGGGCCCCAGGTGTCTGGCGCGCCTGCGGTGCGGCGCTTCGGCGGCGCGGTGGGCGCAGCTGTCGACGAGGCCGTGCCCAGGTTGGGCGCCAGCGCTCCCCCCACGGGCAGCCATGCTGCTGTTGGCGCCAGCTGTGCGCGCTGGCGGCGACGCGGAGGCCTGGCGCGCCACCCTTGTCGCGCGCCTGCAAGCCCTCCCCAGGCCGCTGGAGTAGGTCGGTGATGAAGTGCACCTTCCTCCCTTCCTCCTCCCTCTCCCTCAGCCGCGAGGCGCCCTGCTCGCATGGTAAAGTGAATTGCTGGATGCCCGATGTGAAGCCAGTGCGGGCCCTGGCGTCTTGCTGCCCAACTGGCTCAAGCGGCGCAGGGAGAGGGAAGGACCAGGAATGGTAAATCTGCTGGTGTCCGTTGCCTATTCTTGGGTGACGCGCTGGACTGGCGCGGCATCAGTAGTGCAGGTTCCGATTGTAAGAACCACAGCGACACGTCACCATCACAGACAGGAGTGAATCCGCCACCCACCCTATGGGGCGTCAGACTGCGAGGCTTTCTGCTGCACTGTTTTTCTGTTGTCAGCGCGTTGTGTTTTATAATACGTATTGTGTCTCCACTCCTGCTTCTTTTTCTCTCCAGTCCTGTCTTCTGTTTAACTTAACTGTCTACAAGGGGACCCGCCGCGGCATGAGAATCCGCCTGAGGCGGGGGTCCCTCTGAAATTCCTGGCCGATGTAGCTTGTCCCAGGGTTCCCGAAGGCATGCCATCGCACGCCCAGGAGGAGCCCAAGACAACGCAAGAGAGCGCCACGACGCCCAAAAATGGCCTCAAGTTGGTCGAAGAAGCCCCAAGACGCCACAGTGTTGTCCCAGGGGGACCTCCAAGAGGGCTTCCAGAAGCAAAGATGACTTGATGTGCCTATGACTTTTGAATGACTTTCAAATTCACGCATTCTAACCTTCCCGAGGCCCAAGACGGAGAAGGGGCTTCTAATATGACCTCATGACGGCCCAAGAGGCTTTCAAGAGAGCCCCAAGAAGGCCCCATGATGGTCGAGGAGAATGTCAGGACGTCCCTTGGAATACCCAAGAAGGTCCCAAGAGGGCTCTAAGAGGGCTCCAAGAGGGACCCACAGACTCTCCAGACGGCTGGACGGCCAAAGATGGTTCCAAGACGGCCCAAGAGGGCCCCAAGACAGTCCAAGAGGACAACCAAAAAGATCCCCAACACGCAACAAGATGGCTTCAGGGTGGTCAAAGAAGCCTCCAAGACGCTTCCAGAAATTGGCAAATAACGCATTTCGTCAATCGGAGATCCAAGACTCATCATGTCCGAACGGATGTCTCTATGTAGCGCCAAAACCGTCCCCGACACCTTCTCGGTGTTACCTCGCAAAAGTTTCAGGACTCCACTTCGCCCTGGCTGCCTCAAAGACTAGCCCGCACTGCCAACAGCAACCCCGCCCATCCCGCAAGGGATCCGAGATTCTCCGCTACCACTTCGACTCACTGACCAAAGCTAAGCAGCTCTGGGGGCGGCGGCAGAGAGCGTAGCCCTTCAGATGCAATACGAAGCACCGGCATAGCGCGTGCTGCTTGTCAGGTGGATCGTAACCACAACAACCGTACTGCCTATCTTCGACGGCCTCCTCCGGCACCACCCCCAGTCACCCACGTAAACCTTCCAAACACACCGCTGTCGGCGTCGTTGTTCTCATCCTGATCTGAACTCGCAAGGACGGGCCCTGCACTCGCCGTCGGCTGCCAAGGCTCCGTGCGGGCGGCTATCTTCATGTGATGGGTCTCTACTGGTAGAAATGGGGCGTGCTTCCTCCGACCAGATGATTCCTGCGGGGGGGGAGGGGGCACGGCTAGTCCACCTCAACATGGAATTCAACCCACTGTGCCTGACTCCATGGGCCTTCGAAAGCAATTTGCGAGTCCTGAGTCAGATTCCCCATCGCAGCTTAGATTGTGTGAATGGGATTAACCCTCAAGTGGTCGTCACGAATGGCGTCGGCCGCACATAGCCCGGCCTACACGCTTCTTCACCCGATGAGTCGTCTGATTGGGCACGGCGACGTCGGCAAATGCCCCAACTGCGTACGTAAGACACGTTTGGCTTGGTGAGCCCTGGTGATTGGAGAGAGATTCCTTGTGAAGGGGCCAAGGCATCGTAGCTCGACTCTTCATAGGCGAAACGGATGCTCGCCCATCCGTCCCGCATTACTTGTCTCATCCTCCCCATCCCCCTCCCCCGTCTCCTCCCCCTCCCCCCTCTCCCCCTTCCCCTCCCCCTCCTCATCCCTCCTCCTCGTCCTCCAACCCTAACCTCTTTCTCTGCCTCCTGAGCCTCCTCTTCCCCCTTCCCCCTCCCCCTCCCCCTCCTCCTCATCGTCCGCCTCCCTTCTCCTCCTCGCCACCTTGACCCTACCTCTCTGCACTCCGCCCTTCTTTCTCCCTCGCACGCTCGACGAGGCCCGCCCGCGCGCGACATCCTCGCGGTCGGCGCCGCAGATGCTGCAGGGCGAGCTGCTATCCTGAGGGAGAGGCGCAGGCCGCGGCCATGACTGGGGACGAATGGCTCGGTCTCTGCGGCCACATCCATCCACCCTCCAGAGAAGCAGTCGAAAAGCGTGGTAAAACAAAGCTGAGGTGGCAACTCTCCCCACTCAAGGTAACTACGGGGGCTGTGGGAGAATCAAATTCCAACATGATCGACCCACGAATCCGGAAAGGAATATAGAAATGTAAGGCATGGCAACGTTTCAAAGACACCTGATTGGGCGACGGGCAAATGCAACGCTGAATGTATCGATGTTGATGTGCCGTGCCGAGGGCTGTGCTGTGCTGCGCTGTGCTGAACTGCGATGTGCCATGCCGCGATTGTGCTCTATAGCGTTGTGGATCGAGTCCTCCTTTGCATCCGAGTCCTGACCGAACTGATCTGGATCTTAAGCTCGAGCTGCCTCAGCACATAGTAGCTGCCCAAGAGCTAATTGACAGGGGAATCTGCCAGGAGGACGCGCTGCGGAACGTCCCAAGGGACGCGCCAGGCGACGTGCCAAGGGACGTGCCACGGGGACGCACCGCGGGACGTGCCGAGGGGACGCGCTACGGAACGTGCCAATGGACGTGCCAGTGGACGTGCCAGAAGACGCGCCGCGCGACGTGCCAGGGGGACTCGCCACGGGACGCGCCACGGATCGTGCCAAGTTGCAATGCTGAGTGTATCGATTTTGATGTACCGTGCCGAGGGCTGTGCTGTGCTGCGCTGTGCTGAACTGCGATGTGCGCGATTGTGCTCTATAGCGTTGTGGATCGAGTCCTCCTTTGCACCCGAGTCCTGACCGAACTGATCTGGATCTTAAGCTCGAGCTGCCTCAGCACATAGTAGCTGGCCCAGATCTAATGGACAAGGCGACATGCCAGGAGGACGCGCCGCGGAACGTCCCAAGGGACGCGCCAGGCGACGTGCCAAGTGCCAAGGGACGTGCCACGGGGACGCACCGCGGGACGTGCCGCGGGGACGCGCTACGGAAAGTGCCAATGAACGTGCACCACGCGACGTGCCAGGGGGACTCGCCACGGGACGCTCCGCGGAACGTGCCAGGCAACATGCCAAGCTGCAATGCTAAGGGTATCAATATTGATGTACCGTGCCGAGGGCTGTACTGTGCCTGGGCGACCTGGACACGTGAAAACACGCGTTTCGCTCAAGACGTTCTCAGCACATCCTCATGCTAGACGTCCGCCTGGGCAACCTGGACACGTGCAAACAAGCGTCTCGATCCAGACTTTCTCTACACATCCTCATGCTAGACGTCCGCCTGGGCGACCTGGACACGTGAAAACAAGCCTCTTGTTCGAGACATCCTCAACAAATCCTCATGCTATACATCTGCCTGGGCAACCTGGAGGCGTGAAACCAAGCGTCTCGCTCGAGACGTCCTCAAGACCTGGGCACTTGAAAACAAGCATTTCACTTGAGAGATCCTCTGAATTCAGGCCCCCAGGAGAAGACAATCTTTAACACAAAACAAGCATTTCGCTCGAGACGTCCTCAACAAATTCTGATCAATAAGCATTTCGCTTGAGACATCCTCAAATTTTGATTCGCCGGCCCACCTCAACCTCGATATGTATCGCAAAAGGAATTAGCCGGCCCACATCAAGTCAAACCCGGGGGTAAACCTACTAAAAGAGAACCCTGGGCTTATGCCCTTTCCGGGAAAAAGTCGGCGAGGATACACATCGGGCTCCCAGAGCCCCAGAACCTTCAATACCACACCCTCCCTCCTCCTCATCCACCCTCTAGAAACTCGTAGAACGCTTCAGAAACCCTCAGAAATCTGGAAAATAAGCTCCCTGCTCACCCCCCCTGTCCCCACCCCAGCACTCCTCACCCTCTGACTTTTTCCTCACCCTCTGACTTTTTGGCAAGTGCAGTGCGTCCATGCTGAATGGAACGCCCTGCCCGCGGAACTACCTACGGTGGAGACTCTTCAGGCCGCCGGTCTTGGAGACTGTGAGCGCACAGAGCAACAACGGCTAGTACAGAGAGAAATGTATGCTGGGCAACAAAATGCGAACACCTCCCTCATCCACTGGCCTCCTCCCCACCTCACCCCCCCCCAAACAGAAAGGGAGAAAGAGGGAGGGAAGGATCCCCCCTGCGATCTCCCCACCCTTGGTCCTCCAGGCCTCGCAGCTCCTTGCCGCAGTCGGCGCCGTAGAGGCGTCCGAGCGCCAAAGCGGCGGGAGGGGCTGCGAAGGGCACCTGGTTGCAGCCCAGATGAGGCCAGCCTCCCAAATCCACCCCTTGCCCCCTTGAAGCCCTGATGTCCCACGCAATTAACGAACACACCATCTGGATTGTTTGTTTCGCCGCGTGCGGCCTCTGAAGGGCCCTGGCCGGGCCCTGGGACCATCAAAAACGGCTCAGGGATGAACAAATTGTCCTGGTGAAAGGTCGGGACTTCCAGGGAATCCGTGTGTGAAACATGATCGACCCACGAACCCAGAATGGAATATAGACATGTAAGGCATGGCACAAGCCAATGGACGTGCCACGGGACGTGCCAAGGGACGCGCCGCGAGACGTGCCAAGGGGACTCGCCACGGGACGCGCCACGGAACGTGCCAAGGAACGTGCCAGACGCCGCAAAAGGGAACGTGCCAAGGAACGCGTCAGGGAACGTGCCACGGGACGTCCCTGACCCAGGGCCAAGATCCATCGAAAATTACGCTGCGTCAGCGCTCTGGACACGATTCATCGTAAATTACGTTGCGTCCGCGCCCACAAGGCCACGACCCCCCGTGAATAACGTTGCGTCCGCTCTCCCTGGGCCACGATCCCTTGTAAACTAGGCTGCGTCCGCGCTCCCAGTGCCGCGCTCCTTTGTGAATTGCGCTGTGTCCGCGCTCCAAGGGCCACGTTCTCTACTAAATTACACTGCGTCCGCCCCCGCAGGGCCAGGATCCTTCGTACATTACGCTGCGTCCGCACTCCCAGGGCCAGGATCCTTCGTACATTACGCTGCGTCCGCACTCCCAGGGTCACGATCCGTTGTAAATTACAGCGCGTCCGCGCTGCCAGGGCCACGATCCCTCGTAAATTACGCTGCGTCCGAACTCCCTGGGCCACGATCGCTTGTAAACTACGCTGCGTCCGCGCTCCCAGTGCCGCGTTCCTCCGTGAATTATGCTGCGTCCGCGCTGCCAGGACCACGCCCCCAAGTACATTACGCTGTGTCTGCCCCCCGCGGGGCCAGGATCCATCGAAAAATTACGCTGCGTCCGCGCTCCCAGGGCCACGATATATTGCGTCCGCGCTCCCAGGGCCACGATCTCTCGTAGGTTATGCTGCGTCCGCGCTCCCTGGGCCACGGTCCCTCGTAAACTACGCTGCGTCCACGCTCCCAGGGCTGCGCTCTCCTGTGAATTACGCTGCGTCCGCGCTCCCAGGACCACGTCCTGTAGTAAATTACAATGTGCTCGGGCTCCCAGAACCACCTGGGCATCCTGGGGCGTCCAGGCCGCCCGAGTTCTGCAAAACAAGCGTTTCGCTCGAGACATCCTCGAAGCGTCTCGCTCGAGACATCCTCAAGACCTGGGCACGTGAAAACACACATTTCATGTGAGACATCCTCTGAATTCTGTTCCCCAGGAGTGGAGCGATCGATAGCACAAGACACACGTTTCGCTCGAGACATCCTCAACCGTTTATGCAAAACAAGCGTTCCGCTCGAGACACCCGCAACAAACACAAGCTTACTTCACCCTTGTCTATAGATCGGAATCTAAAACCAGCGCTTCGTTGGAGACACTCTCGCAGTTTAATTTACCGGTCCGTCTCGACCTCGTTATTTATACCGCAAAACAAATGGCATGCGTGCCATGGCTCTTGCACATAAAGAAAAGGGAAGAGGCGGAGGGGGCGCGCTGGCTGGTGGGTGGGGTAATGGAGGGGGCACTCGGGATGGGGGGGCGGTGCTGTGCCGAAATGGAATGATGGACCCACGAACCCGGAAAGGAATATAGACATGTGCAGCATGGTCACGTTTTCACGGTACCCCACTGGGCGACACCTCACGAAACATCCCACGAGACACCCCGCGAAACATCCCACGAGACACCTCACGAAACATGCCACGAGACACCTCACGAAACATTCCACGAGACACCCCGTGAAACATTCCACGAGAGAAAAGATAATGCCGTTAAGCATGCAACAGGTGTAACAATGAAGGGAGGAGGCCGGCCCGCCGGCCGACGCGCGCGGCCGCGCGCGGGCGCGCTCCTTTTTCGCAATACCTGGAGCCAAAAGTGTGTCGCTGCGGAAGCGCAAGTCAAGAAGGAAGAGCAGCAGCAGCAACAGACAGCGCAGAAGCAAGCAGGACGGGTGAGAAGGGCAACAACCTGGTGGTGCGGAGGGGTGCATTGAATAGGGGACGTGCCACGGGGACGCACCGCGGGACGTGCCAAGGGGACGCGCTACGGAATGTGCCAATGGACATGCCACGGGACGTGCCAGGCGACGCGCCGCGCGACGTGCCAGGGGGACTCGCCACAGGACGCGCCACGGAACGTGCCAAGGAACCTGCCAGGTTACAATGCTGAATGTATCGATCTTGATGTACCGTGCCGAGGGCTGTGCTGTACTGGGCCGTGCTCTATAGCGTTGTGGATTGAGTCCTCCGTTTCATCCGAGCCCTGACCGAACTGATCTGGATCTTAAGTTCGAGTTGCCCTAGCACATAGTAGCTGCCCCAGAGCTAATAGACAGGGGAACATGCCAGGAGGACGAGCCGCGGAACGTCCCAAAAGACGCGCCAAACTCCGTGCCAGGGGACGTGCCACGGGGACACACCCCGCGCGGGACGTGCCGAGGGGACGCGCTACGGAACGTGCCAATGGACGTGCCACGGGACGTGCCAGGGGACGAGCCGCGCGACGTGCCAGGGGGACTCGCCACGGGTCGCGCCACGGAACGTGCAAAAAAACGTGCCAAGTTGCAATGCTGAGTTTATCGATCTTGATGTACCGTGCCGAAGGCAGTGCTGTGCTGCGCCAAGCTGAACTGCGATGTGCCACGTGACGATTATGCTCTACAGCGTTGTGGATCGAGTCCTCCTTTGCATCCGAGTCCTAACCGAACTGATCTGGATCTTAAGTTCGAGATGCCTGAGCACATAGTAGCTGCTCAAAAGCTAATTCACAGGGAGGCATGCTAGGAAGACGCGCCGCGCAAAGTCCCAAGGGACGCGCCAGGCGACGTGCCAAGGGACGTGCCACGGGGACGCACCGCGGGACGTGCCAAGGGGACGCGCTACGGAACGCGCCCATGGACGTGCCAGGGGGACTCGCCACAGGACGCGCCACGGAACGTGCCAAGGAACGTGCCAAATTACAATGCTGAGTGAGTGTATCGATCTTGATGTACCGTGCCGAGGGCTGTGCTGGGCCGTGCTGAACTGCGATGTACCATGCCGCGATTGTGCTCTATAGCGTTGTGGATCGAGTCCTCCTTTGCATCCGAGCCCTGACCGAACTGATCTGGATATTAAGCTCGAGCTGCCTGAGCACATAGTCCACATAGTAGCTGCCCCAGAGCTAATTGACAAGGGAACATGCCAGGAAGACGCGCCGCGGAACTTTCCAAGGGACGCGCCAGGCGACGTGCCAGGGGACGTGCCACGGGGACGCACCGCGGGACGTGCCGAGGGGACGCGCTGCAGAAAGTGCTGGGGACAAGCGTCGTGTTGGTGGCCTGGACATGTAAAAACATCGCGCCAGCTCGGGACAACCATGTTAGATACCCCCTGGGTGGCCTGGACACGTAAAAACACGTGGTTCCAGCTCGGGACAATCATGTTAGATATCTCCCTGGGTTGCCTGAGCATGAAAAAACATGTGGTTCCAGCTCGGGACAGCCATGTTTAATACCCCCTGCGTGAACTGGATACGTTGAATTCGCGCTCCCGCTCGAGACATCCTCGCAACGTCTTCCCTGGAGAGGCCCCGAAAGCGCAACCCCCTGTTCAGAGCAAGAAACCATCACTTTTCTGTATTGGGGCATGTGTTCGGGTAGCGCTTTTCGGCCCCCCGTGCGTTTCCTCATAATTCGGCGTTGGGCCCGACGCCATGTTAGATACCCCAACTCTGCAACACCAGCGTTTCGCTCGAGACATCCTCAACACATTCTGAAAAACAAGCGTTTCGCTCGAGACACCCCCCAACTCTGCAAAACCAGCGTTTCGCTCGAGACATCCTCAACAAATTCTGAAAAACAAGCGTTTCGCTCGAGATATCCTCACAAATAATTCCGCCGGCCTCCTTTCAACTTCTCATTTATCGCCAAATAATTGAATTCCACCGGCCTCCTTCAAGTCGAAACTGGGGGTAACAATACTACAAGAGAACCCTGGGCCGGCGCCTTTTCCGGGATTCCAAGCCAAGTGCCTCAAACGAGTTTTACACATTCTACCTCCTTTCCTGTCACGCGTGTCAAATAAGGTCGTCCTGCAGGAGGCCCGGCAGGCCCCCTACAGCACCCAGCTTCTGCGACAACAGCTCGCGCTGTTTGGAAACATGATCGACCCACGAACCTGGAAAGAAATATAGAAATGTAACGCATGGCAACGTTTTCAAAGACACCTGATTGGGTGACGGGCAAATGCAATGCTGAGTGTATCGATCTTGATGTACCCTGCCGAGGGCTGTGCTGTGCTGCGCTGTGCTGAATTGCGATGTGCCATGCCGAGATTGTGCCCTATAGCGTCGTGGATCGAGTCCTCCTTTGCATCCGAGTCCTGACCGAACTGATCCGGATCTTAAGCTCGAGCTGCCTGAACACATAGCAGCTGCCCCAGAGCTACTTGACAGGGGGACATGCCAGGAGGACGCGCCGCGGAACGTCTCAAGGGACGCGCCAGGCGACGTGCCAGGGGACGTGCCATGGGGTCGCACCGCGGGACGTGCCAAGGGGACGCGCTACGGAACGTGCCAATGGATGTGCCACGGGATGGCCTCGTGGATCGAGTCCTCCTTTGCATCCGAGTCCTGGCCGAACTGATCTGGATCTTACGCTCGAGCTGCCTGAACACATAGTAGCTGCCCCAGAGCCAATTGACAAGGGGACATGCCAGGAGGACGCGACGCGGAACGTCTCAAGGGACCCGCCAAGCGACGTGCCAAGGGACGTGCCATGGGGACGCACCGCGGGACGTGCCAAGGGGACGCGCTACGGAACGTGCTGGGGACAAGCGTTTCGCTCGAGACATCCTGCCAACATCCTCAGAATTCCTGCGCGCGGGACGCGGCACGGGCGAGACATCCTCGGAATTCTTGCGAGCGGGACATGAAAACAAGCATTTCGCCTGAGACATCCTTTGAATTCTGGACCCCCACGAGGCCCCCGAGGCCCCCGCTCGAGACATCCCCAAATTTTGCCAAACCAGCGTTTCGCTCGAAACGTCTTCAACAAATTATGAAAGACAAGCATTTCGCTCGAGACATCCTGCTAAAATTCAAGGAAATCCTAGCAAAACAAACGAATTAGATGAGACATCCTCGAAATTCCTGCGCGCGGGACGCGGCACGCGCGAAACATCATCGGAATTCCTGCGCGCGGGGCGCTTTTCCGCGTCGCGGTCGGCTCTGCAAAACCAGCGTTTCGCTCGAGACATCCTCAACAAATTCTCAAAACAAGCGTTTCGCTCGAGACATCCCCAACTCTGCAAAACCAGCGTTTCGCTCGAGACATCCTCAACAAATTCTGAAAAACAAGCGTTTCGCTAGGGACATCCTCAAAAATCATTCCGCCGGCCCACCTCGACCTCGATATTTATCGGGGAATAATTCCGCCGGTCCACCTCAAGACAGGTCCGCGGGGTAAACAGCAACATGATGGACCCACGAACCCGGAAAGGGATAAAGACATGTGCAGCATGGTCACGTTTTCACGATACCCAACTGGGCGACATCCCACGAAACATCCCACGAGACACCCCGCGAAACATCCCACGAGACACCTCACGAAACATTCCACGAGACACCTCACGAAACATTCCACGAGACACCCCGCGAAACAGGCAACCCACTCAACCACTCACACGCCACGAAACATTCCACGGGGGTGCGACTGGGTGTGGTCGTGCTGGGGTGTGGTCGTGCTGGGGTGTGGTCGTGCTGGGGAGTGGTCGTGCTGGGGTGTGGTCGTGCTGGGGGGTCGTGCTGGTGCGTGCTGGGGGGTGGTCGTGCTGGGGGGTGGTTGTGCTGGGGCGTGGTCGTGCTGGGGCGTGGTCGTGCTGGGGCGTGGTCGTGCTGGGGTGTGGTCGTGCTGTGGTGAGGTCGTGCTGGGGTGTGGTCGTGCTGGGGTGTGGTCTTGCTGGGGTAGGGTCGTGCTGGGGTCGGGTCGTGCTGGGGTGTGGTCGTGCTGGGGTATGGTCGTGCTGGGGTGGGGTCGTGCTGGGGTGGGGTCGTGCTGGGGTCTGGTCGTGCTGGGGTGTGGTCGTGCTGGGGTATGGTCGTGCTAGGGTGGGGTCGTGCATTTCGCTCGAGACATCCTGCCAAAATTCCAGGAAATCGTACAAAAACAAACGAATTAGTCGAGACATCATCGAAATTCCTGCGCGCGGGGCGCTTTTCCGCGTCGCGGTCGGCTCTGCAAAACCAGCGTTTCGCTCGAGACATCCTCAACAAATTCTGAAACCAAGCGTTTCGCTCGAGACATCCCCAACTCTGCAAAACCAGCGTTTCGCTCGAGACATCCTCAACAAATTCTGAAAAACAAGCGTTTCGCTCGAGACATCCTCAAATTTTAATCCGCCGGCCTCCTTCGACCTCGATATTTATCAGGGAAAAAATCCGCCGGCCTCCTTCAAGTTGGCACCGGGGGACAGGTTTACCTACTAAAAGAGAACCCTGGGCCGGCGCCCTTTCCGGGAAAAAGAGAACCCTGGGCCTACGCCCTTTCCGGGCAAATATGTAGGGCGTCGAACCACGATTTTCTTAGACAAGCCACGTTCCAGCCTGACACTGTTCTCCCAGCCACGGCCGCGCTCAAACGCAAGCGTGGTCGACCGAAGAGAGAATGGGCAACGGAGCTGCACAGAATGCTCTCGTCCAGTTTCAATTCGCACGATCTGCTCCTACAGTGCATACATGACCCTGTGCAATGGGATGCTTTTGTGAAGCGCCACACACAACAGTGCGTCGAGCCAGACGGGCATTTGTGACTTGTTGCTTTGTTCCCCGCTCCCCCTTCCCCTCCTCTTCTTACCCCTCCCCCTCCCCGCCGCCGGGCACGTCGAAAATTATGCGACCGCCGACGCGCCGCCACTCCCGCTAAGCGGCGATAGCTGGCTGGCATTGTCTTCTTTCGCCCACGCGCTCCGGCGTATGGCATGAGTGAAAAACGGGGATGTCTGCGAACCACCTTCCCTCCGTCCGCATGACCGCTGGGAAGATCAAGTTGCACGCAAGAGCTCGGAGAGCCCCAAGGGAGTCCCAGGCGCAGTGCGCACTTTGAAAAACGGTCCGCCGTTTTTCCGCGTGGTTGTTGTGAAAGTCGAGCGTCCGACAAACCACCTGGGCCCAACCGACACGGCTGGTGGCGCGAGAAGGAGAATCGGATCAGGAAGGAGGATGGAGGATGAGGGGGAGGGACTTTTCAGCTGCAGGGGTGAGGTCACAGCAGGTCCAGGCGGTAGAAACGGGGTGCGGCTCCCATGTGGAAGTGGACGATGAGGAGGCGCAGGCTCCCCTGCCCCACAAGAGGCCGTCTAGAAGGGGGGTCTCGGGGAACGCCAACTCTCCGTGTGCACAAATCCTGGGCAGAAGAATCCTCGGCCCAGGGTCGGCCTGGCCGGGTCGCAGAATTCCGACGCATGTCCTTTCTTCTCACGACGTGGGCACTCCCAAGCTCTCGACAGTATCCCAATTACGTGTTTCGCCGCGGGTCGTTTTTGATTGTCTCGGGCCCTGGCGGCGGCACTGGATGCCCAAACCGCAGGAACAGAAGAACAACGCTCTCAATTTTCCCCGCGACGCCTGTGCAGGTCTGGGATCGGTGCGAGGTGGCCTCGTGGGGCTGCTGTCCTTGTCGTTGCCCTGGTCGCCGTCGCCATCGCAGGCCTCGTCCTCGTCCTCGACACCGATACCGTGGCTGTTCACCGCCGTCCTCGCCGTCGTCGCCATCGTTTCCGGGGAAAGGCGCCGGGGCCAGCCGCGGCGCGAGCTGCTGCAGCGCGTCCGAAAGCTGGCGGAGGGCGGCGGCAGGGTCCTTGGGCATCGGAGAGGATGCCGGAAGAGGACGTTCGGGATGCGCGGGAATTGAAGTGGGGATAAGGAGCAGTAAAGGGCGGTAGGGAAAACTGACACTGAAATTGGGCGGAAAGCTGCCCGAGTATTTAAATGCTACACAGTACGCTGCTAGCACACGAATGGCTGGCACGCAAAGACTGATACGCCTCACTAACGCGTTTCGCCTCAGAGCGAGCACCACGGGCGGCAAAGTCGCTCGGCGTGCGAGGTCTACCCCGTCGTGCCACCTCGTCTGCACCATTCCACGGTAAGCGCGGGTGTCCGTCCGGTCAGCAAGACAAGGATCGTCCCCCTCGCGCACATAGAACGACTTCAAAAGAACATGATGGACCCACGAACCCGGAAAGGGATATAGACATGTGGAGCATGGACACGTTTTCACGATACCCAACTGGGCAACACCTCACGAAACATCCCACGAGACACTTCACGAAACATCCCACGAGACACCTCACGAAACATTCCACGAGACACCTCACGAAACATTCCACGAGACACCCCGCGAAACATTCCACGAGACACCCCACGAAACATTCCACGACGACAGGCAACCACTCAACCAAGGCGGTGTGGTCGTGCTGGGGAGTGGTCGTGCTGGGGTGTGGTCGTGCTGGGGGGTGGTCGTGCTGGGGGGTGGTCGTGCTGGGGGGGTGGTCGTGCTGGGGGGTGGTCGTGCTGGGGTGTGGTCGTGCTGGGGCGTGCTGTCGTGCTGGGGTGTGGTCGTGCTGGGGTGTGGTCGTGCTGGGGCGTGCTGGGGCGTGGTCGTGCTGGGGCGTGGTCGTGCTGGGGCGTGGTCGTGCTGGGGTGTGGTCGTGCTGTGGTGAGGTCGTGCTGGGGTGTGGTCGTGCTGGGGTGTGGTCTTGCTGGGGTGGGGTCGTGCTGGGGTGGGGTCCTGCTGGGGTGTGGTCGTGCTGGGGTGTGGTCGTGCTGGGGTGGGGTCGTGCTTGGGTGGGGTCGTGCTGGGGTGTGGTCGTTCTGGGGTGTGGTCGTGCTGGGGTGTGGTCGTGCTAGGGTGGGGTCGTGCTGGGGTGGGGTCGTGCTGGGGTGGGGTCGTGCTGGCGTGTGGTCGTGCTGGGGTGTGGTCGTGCTGGGGCGTGGTCGTGCTGGGGTGGGGTCGTGCTGGGGTGGGGTCGTGCTGGCGTGTGGTCGTGCTGGGGCCGTTTTGGAGCTCCGTAGGGCTCCGCAGGGCTCAGTAGCGCTCCGTGGCGCCCGTAGGGCTCCGCAGGGCTCAAGTGCGTTGTGGATCAACTCGCCCGTGGCCTCCGAATCCGGGCCTAACTGATTTGGATCTTAAGCCCGAGCTGTCTGAATGCAGAACTCGCCCTGGAGCTGGTCGCAATGGGGGGTGGTCTTGCTGGGGCGTGGTGGTGCTGGGGCGTGGTCGTGCTGGGGCGTGGTCGTGCTGGGGTGTGGTCGTGCTGTGGTGAGGTCGTGCTGGGGTGTGGTCGTGCTGGGGTGTGGTCTTGCTGGGGTGGGGTCGTGCTGGGGTGGGGTCCGGCTGGGGTGTGGTCGTGCTGGGGTGTGGTCGTGCTGGGGTGTGGTCGTGCTGGGGTGGGGTCGTGCTTGGGTGGGGTCGGGCTGGGGTGTGGTCGTTCTGGGGTGTGGTCGTGCTGGGGTGTGGTCGTGCTGGGGTGGGGTCGTGCTGGGTCGGGGTCGTGCTGGAGTGTGGTCGTGCTGGGGTGTGGTCGTGTTGGGGTGTGGTCGTGCTGGGGCGTGGTCGTGCTGGGGTGGGGTCGTGCTGGAGTGGGGTCGTGCTGGGGTGTGGTCGTGCTGGGGTGGTCCGAACCCTGTGACTTATCGATCGGGTCGTGCTGGGGTGTGGTCGTGCTGGTGCTGGGGTGGTCGTGCTGGGGTGTGGTCGTGCTGGGGTGTGGTCGTGCTGGGGTGTGGTCGTGCTGGGGTGTGGTCGTGCAGGCAACCACTCAACCAAGGCGGTGTGCTCGTGCTGGGGAGTGGTCGTGCTGGGGGGTGGGCGTGCTGGGGGGTGGTCGTGCTGCGGTGTGGTCGTGCTGGGGGGGTGGTCGTGCTGGGGTGGGGTCGTGCTGGGGCGTGGTGGTGCTGGGGCGTGGTCGTGCTGGGGCGTGGTCGTGCTGGGGTGTGGTCGTGCTGTGGTGAGGTCGTGCTGGGGTGTGGTCGTGCTGGGGTGTGGTCTTGCTGCGGTGGGGTCCTGCTGGGATGTGGTCGTGCTGGGGTGTGGTCCTGCTGGGGTGTGGTCGTGCTGGGGTGGGGTCGTGCTTGGGTGGGGTCGGGCTGGGGTGTGGTCGTTCTGGGGTGTGGTCGTGCTGGGGTGTGGTCGGGCTGGGGTGGGGTCGTGCTGGGTCGGGGTCGTGCTGGGGTGTGGTCGTGCTGAAGTGTGGTCGTGTTGGGGTGTGGTCGTGCTGGGGCGTGGTCGTGCTGGGGTGGGGTCGTGCTGGAGTGGGGTCGTGCTGGGGTGTGGTCGTGCTGGGGTGGTCCGCACCCTGTGACTTATCGATCGGGTCGTGCTGGGGTGTGGTCGTGCTGGTGCTGGGGTGTGGTCGTGCTGGGGTGTGGTCGTGCTGGGGTGTGGTCGTGCTGAGGTGTGTTCGTGCTGGGGTGTGGTCGTGCTGGGGCGTGGTCGTGCGGTGGGGTCGTGCATTTCGCTCGAGACATCCTGCCAAAATTCCAGGAAATCGTACAAAAACAAACGAATTAGTCGAGACATCATCGAAATTCCTTCGCGCGGGGCGCTTTTCCGCGTCGCGGTCGGCTCTGCAAAACCAGCGTTTCGCTTGAGACATCCTCAGCAAATTCTGAAAACAAGCGTTTCGCTCGAGACATCCTCAACTCTGCAAAACCAGCGTTTCGCTCGAGACATCCTCAAGAAATTCTGAAAAACAAGCGTTTCGCTCGAGACATCCTCAAATTTTAATTCGCCGGCCTCCTTCGACCTCGTTATTTATCAGGGAAAAAATTCGCCGGCCTCCCTCAAGTTGGCACCGGGGGACAGGTTTACCTACTAAAAGAGAACCCTGGGCCCACGCCCTTTCCGGGAAAAACGCTACCGAAAAAGCCCAAGGTCGCGCCGAAACGTGTCCCAAAACGCAGCCCAAAACGAACATGATCGACGCATGAACCCAGAAAGGAATATAGAAATGTAAAACATGGCAACGTTTCAAAGACACCTGATTGGGCGACGGGCAAATGCAATGCTGAATGTATCGATCTTCATGTACCGTGCCGAGGGCTGTGCTGTACAGCACTACGATTGTGCTCTACAGCGTTGTGGATCGAGTCCTCCTTTGCATCCGAGTCCTGACCGAACTGATCTGGATCTTAAGCTCGAGCTGCCTGAGCACATAACTAATAGCTGCCCCAGAGCTGATTAACAAGGGAACATGCCAGTAGGACGCGCCGCGGAAAGTTCCAAGGGACGCGCCAGGCGACGTGCAAGGGGACGTGCCACGGGGACGCACCGCGGGACGTGCCAAGGCGACGCGGTACAGAACGTGCCAATGGACGTGCTACGGGACGTGCCAGGGGACGCGCTGCGCGACGTGCCAGGGGGGCTCGCCACGGGACGCGCCACGGAACGTGCCAAAGAACGTGCCAGGTTGTAATGATGAGAGTATCGATCTTGATGTACCGTGCCGAAGGCTGTGCTGTGCTGAGCCGTGCTGAACTGCGATGTGCCATGCCGTGATTGTGCTCTACAGCGTTGTGGGTCGAGTCCTCCTTTGCATCCGAGTCCTGACCGAACTGATCTGGATCTTAAGCTCGAGCTGCCCTAGCGCATAGTAGCTGCCCCAGAGCTAATTGACAAGGGAACATGCCAGGAGGACGCGCCGCGGAACGTCCCAAGGGACGCGCCAAGCGGCATGCCAGGGGACGTGCCACGAGGACGTGCCACAGAACGTGCCAAGTTGCAATGCTGAATGTATCGATCTTGATGAACCGTGCCGAGGGCTGTGCTGTGCTGCGCCGTGCTGAACTGCGATGTGCCACGTGACGATTGTGCTCTATAGCGTTGCGGATCGAATCCTCCATTGCATCCGAGTTCTAACCGAACTGATCTGGTCTTCAAGCTCGAGCTGCCTGAGCAAATAGTAGCTGCCCTCGAGCTAAGTCACAAAGGGGCATGCTAGGAAGACGCGCCGCGGAACATTCCAAGGGACGCGCCAGGCGACGTGCCAAGGGACGTGCCATGGGGACGCACCGCGGGACGTGCCAAGGGGACGCGCTACGGAACGTGCCAATGGACGTGCCACGGGACGTGCCAGGGGACGCGCTGCGCGACGTGCCAGGGGGACTCGACGACACGCCACGGAACGTGCCAAGGAACGTGCCAAATGCTGAGTGAGTCTATCGATCTTGATGTACCGTGCCGAAGGCTGTGCTGTGCTGCGCCGTGCTGAACTGCAATGTGCCATGCCGCGATTGTGCTCTATGGTGTTGTGGATCGAGTCCTCCGTTGCATCCGAGTCCTGACCGAACTGATCTGGATCGTAAGATCGAACTGCCTGAGCACATAGTCCACATAGTAGCTGCCCCAGAGCTAATTGACAAGGAAACATGCCAGGAAGACGCGCCGCGGAACGTTCCAAGGGACGCGCCAAGCAACGTGAAAGGGGACGTGCCACGGGGACGCACCGCGGGACGTGCCAAGGCGACGCGGTACAGAACGTGCTGGGGACAAACGTCGTGGTGGCCTGGACACGAAACATGATCGACCCCCGAACCCGGAAAAGAATCTAGAAATGCAAGGCATGGCAACGTTTCAAAGACACCTGATTGGGCGACGGGCAAATGCAATGCTGAATGTGTCGATCTTCATGTACCGTGCCGAGGGCTGTGCTGTGCAGCGCTGTGCTGAATTGCGATGTGCCATGCCACGATTGTGCTCTAGAGCGTTGTGGATCGAGTCCTCCTTTGCATCCGAGTCCTGACCGAACTGATCTGGATCTTAAGCTCGAGCTGCCTAAGCACATAACTAATAGCTGC